GGCGTTCGCCCGGTCAGCCCGGCTCCTACGTGAGAGAGCTGGTGAGTGTTTTGACGTCATTTGGCCACATCTGGGATAGAGCGTTTTTGAACGGTCGTGCACTCGACAAGCTTTGACATGACGCTGCTGGCTGCACGATCTTAACGCACCGTGCACACCAACAGGGTGAATGGTGCACGCCGTGAATGGTGCACATTAGTGCTCGGAGTTCACACACTGCACACTGCACGTTCAGCTGCACAGTTTCGCATGTGCACACTTGCAGTCCATACGCATTACAGCTGGGCGCAAAGAACCACTTGGCCTGCCTTTACGGGTGACCCCATGCTGTCAAATCTAGGGGCCCTTACCATTCACAATTATAAGAAGGGGCGGCCTGTAAGCGACAAAGCACCTCATGGTATCACCTTGTCCGCTATACTCAGAATCGTTGTCCGCTGAACCCTGGACCTCCGTCCGTCGCTCCGTCGGCTACTCTAGCGATAAACACAGATGGCTCCGTTCGCCGAGTCTCAATAAACCCCAGACTAATGGCATGTATACACACCACATCACACAAACAGCACGTCGAGAGAGCGCACTGACTGAGCCCGAGCCGTCCCCGGGCAGACTGGGGATAAAAACGGAACAGAGCGACTGATACTGGGTCGATGAGGCGATGGGGCATTTTGGAGAAGAAAAAACACCAAAGCGCTACAGGCTATACATATTGGGGTAATATGCTTCAGATAGAGATAAGTAGCAAAGTAATAATAAATCAGCCTAAGCACGGTGATATAGCGAATCACCAGTTTCCTGCTGGTTCAATATCAATTCTCTGAAAATAGATACTTCCTGTCGCGGCTGGTCAACCGCGCTGAGCTGTGATAAGACCAGCGAGCCAGCGGCCACCAAATCCAAACGCATTTACGCTGACGATAATTACATACAAACATGTGAGCTGTGATTACATTAGGCGCATCTCACATTTCACGACTTCATTGAACCATAGAAGCGGAAAAGAATCTGTCATGCATAACGCACTATGGCGACCAAATGCCAACATCATAAATCGTTGGCACCCGTCCATGGCCCTGAGATATCCGGGCCCAAACCTTCGCCTATACTACTCGCAATGAAACGTGCTACGATATTCGCCACGATTTTCCTCCAAGTCGTGACATTCCTCTCAGAGGCAGGACAGTAGTGGCGCGCACACGTCAGCAGGAGACAACTGTGGCGAGGTCGGCGGTCGTGAGACGCATGCGACGCAGTCGTAACTCAAAAGTAACGCTGCCCCGACCACCACACACACTCAGACGCTTTTACAAAGCGGGCGGCGACACCAGCGCTGTGTCATCCACTAGACAGAATAACTCGTCCCAGTTCGAAATATTATTTACATAACTCGTTGACGGAGCTCCTGACCAGCAAAACACCAGACGAGGTCACTCCGATGTCAGCAGGGATAATTTCGGCCAGGACCACCGAGGGAGAGCGCGGCAGACCGCAGCCTACGCAGGAGCCGCCGGGAAGGTATGTGGCTTTTGCGGGCCCGACTTGCACCACTCATTTTTCACCCGATCCGATCCAGTCGACAAACACCCAGCGACTGCAGCCCAAGACTGATAACGGGTCGTAAATGTTGGGACAAAAACTGACACCAGCTCGGCACTCATCAAACGAAGCCACTTTTAGGGGGGCGCACTGCGGACCGCACAGGTATGAGACGTAATATCACCAGGGGAATCATTGGTCGAGCACAGCCCAAAACGTGATTAGTCAATCAAAAACTATATAATAATTGATCAACTGCTGCACGGTGCTAACAGTAATGTTTGTTTGTATGTTTTCCCGGAAAGTGGAGCAGATACAGGTAGCGCCATGCTCATACCACGCAATGATGCTAATCCATAAAATAATTAATTTGATGTGACACAATGATACGGATGACGGGAACACTGCTAGATTAATTTAATACCTCTCATTTATACCTAAGATGACTGAAATAACAATAAAATAACAAACGAATCAATAAAAACAAGTATAAGAAGAAAAAGAACGGGCACAAGCGGACATCTTATCCCTACGACTGCACGCGGACAGACCGTTTTATTTTACTAAACGATGAACACAAGCAGACTGCGTACCAGCAATGATAGCAAGATATGGCTAGACAGTACATAGAGCGTATTGAGTAAGGCTACACTTATTGAGGTGATATTGAGCTGGCCCAAAATCATCGACGGTGATAAGTTCTGTCAGTTTTCCAGGGACGTTCAGCCGTCGGGTGACACCACTACTAAACTTACTCCATCGCGCGTCCCAGCTCGAAAAATGGATGGAGCTGGAGCCGCCTGGATGTGCCGTCAAAACTCTAAAGCCTGCAGGTAACCGCGATCCTCGAAACACTCACCAACCACTTTCATCGCTCATAAAGCCGCTTTGAGCTCGCTATACACACTAGAGAAACTACCCAGCGCCATTGCCTCTCGCCAACACATTTCAGTCCGTAACTATGAAAAAAAAAACTCAACTCTCAGGTCACGAAGGCCACTACGTCCTGCCTCACCGAGGACAAAACCGTGGCTTGGGAGGCACGAATGAATGGATGGGCGGCTGATGAATGGATGGGTGCCACACACCAGCCAGTGACAGGCTCAATAGCTTCCTCACCCTCGGGGATGGAGGGAGGACGAGGACAAAAATGGAGCAGTCACCATGGCATGCCAGTTGCCACTTAGACCACAAATCAACAGCTCACTGGAATGGTAATGAAATCAGAAGTTTTAAGCATGGATGATATATAATATAGGAAAATCAAAAGGATTGTACATTGTACAACAACGAGATGTGTCTGTTCGTCACTTTCGTTCTCCTTGACTGAAAATCATTCAATTAAATGAACAGGCAAGCATACTTTTGGCAAAAGCGTTCCATTACACAAAACATTTTGTAGGGGAATTGAAATTACACCACGGAGTGAGCAGAAGCGCCATTTTTCTGCCACATCCTCAGAGCAGACGCCCTGCCCGGCGACCATAACTCCTCTCCGGCGGCGTGCCCCAGTGGCGGGTCACGCCGACGGGCTGTCCGGTCGCCACCGTGTCGCCGCCGGTGACTCACCAGGGCGGCCGCGAGTCTGGCCGGCGACCGTCCCTCCCGGCGCTACGCCCCACACAACCCTTCCCCGGCCGACGCCGACAGCCGCGGGATAAACACCAGCACACCCAGTCCCGGTGGAACTAAGTCCGAGTCACCGGCACTGCTATCGGTACTACCTCGACAGCCACGACCATCGCTGCCGTGACAACTGCCATCAGCAGCATTTTCGTCACCAACAGGGTGCTGAAACCCTACACTTTCAATAACCGCCGCCACCGATACCACCGCCGCCGGCTCACGCGCATCAAGTGACATGTCCCAATCAGCAGAGTGAAAATGCTGAGCGTGCTACCACCGAGCTCTGCTGAGCCGAGCTAAGCTGGCCGGAGACAGAGACAGGGGAGGGAGAGCAGAGACGGAAACAGACACTGAGAGACAGTCGGAGACAGAGCTCCGGCGAATAGCCTCGTATGGCGACTGCGACAGGCCGCCATCTGTGCGTACGTGACCCAATCGCCGCTGGGCAGAACGGAATAGCGGCAGGATGGATGGCGTTCATCAGCAAACAATCCCGCAGATCCACGGAAATGGCGTCTGTGCGTGAGGCAGACAGCATGTGGTTCTATGGAGAGGATAGCCGACTTTGTTTGTGTGTGGCTACAACAAACACCTTTAGGCTTCTGGTGGCATGGGCCTCGAGGGGACTGCAGCTGAAAAATAGGAGCATCTAATGCAAAGAAACACAGAGCCTGGAAAATGGTTTGTGTCCTAGGAACTGAGCTTTTAAAGCACTTCAAATACCTACCTTATAGGTACATGACATATTACCAAAGCTGAAATTAAGAAGAGGCTATAATGAAAATTTAATGACATTTGGCCTGAAGAAGCAAAAGACAGTGTTATTTTCATGCTTCCTGAAGTAGTTAGGGGATGACTCAAAAATTTCAATCCTGATTACTGGCAAAACAAATAACAATTATAACAAGAAACTCACCAGGAATCATTACATTACAATCTCATCTGGCACAACAGAAATTTGTCTGACCTGGGCAGTGAGCAGTGCAGACTGGAAAAAGGGCATTTGATTACTGATGTTTGCACTTGGAGTTGATAACACACAATGCCATGTCATGCAGATCTCAGCATTGCAGAGACATATTTAATTTATTCACAGCTGATGACAATACAGGAAATAAAGCAAACTACCCACATAAAGGATTTCAGGGGGATGATGTAGGTAGGTAGTGCGTATTAAATTGAGAGAATGGAAAAGAGGTTTCGATCAATTCCTTCAAGAGGCTGGAATAAATCATGGCATTACCTATTTCACTCACTGAAATATTGATTGTTAAGTGACTTCTAATAAATGCATAACTATAAAGAGTTATCTGGTAATATGGAAAAGCATGGAATGACAGACATTTCAAATTATTTGGGGAGTAAAACACCAATGATTGTCAAGAAAGTTATGAACACTGAACTCCATAACGTTCAAATTTCAAGTTAGTTTCTTATTAGCTTCATATCACATTGGTTTTTTAGAGTTTCATCCAGTCTATATAGCTTGTTGACTGGCACAGCCCAATGCCTCTGCCCAGTTCACCAGCAAGGAATCAGTCATAGCCTCATTGGTGGCTAGTCTCATGCCCCGCCGTGTTACACATTTCACCCAGGCCAGGCACAGCTGCCAGCCAGCCTTGTGTAATGGTTGGCTGGCAGCCATTACAAAGGCTATATATGTTCTTCATATTTGACAGTGTCTATGTGTTCTAACCCACCCTCCTGCAGCACTTACACTCAGAGCTCACTGCCACTCTGGTTCGTAGTCACACAGTTCATCAAGCCATAGCCCATAAGGACTTCAAAGCAAATGAAACAAAGACTATCAACTACAGTACATGCATGGAGGGACTTACCTTATAAGATAACTATGCCGCTTTCTCGCTAATTGCTCAGTGGAGTTGCAATTAGGCTGCTCCTCATACTGGCGCACATCCAGAAACTATAGCACTATCCAATCACCTCAGTGGAAAGATACACTGACGCTGAGTGGATTCTGCCACTGATCACTTCAAAGGTCGTGTATATTATCAGCTTTTCACTTATTCTTCAACGCAATGGCCATAAAACTCACTTTCCGCGGGCACCCTCACATCCACCGCCTTCCAACAACAACAATCGCAAACTGCAACGGCCAAACCCATTGCGCCGGAAACGTCTCACCATAAAGCTGCCATATGTGCATGCTTTTTGTTTCCCTAGAGCGTAGTAGAAATAAACTACATGTAGGGGTTTTTGTTGTCAGCCCATCAGATAAATTATTGATTGGCAAATGGCAAACCTTTGTTATTATGTATTCTATGAATGCTGCAAGTCTTCACTTTTCACATTATTTCCTTGCATCGTGTTAGTGCCTTCTGTTAGAAATATTGGGTCGAAACGTCTAAAGAAGAAAGATACGGGATGATACGGTTTTACAGAGCTTTATGCGAGCGAAACGGTTATCTTGGATGCGAGTAGGCACATTTCTCGTGTCTATTGCTTAAGAGGGGCCTGGACACTGGACTCTTGGAAAGGCGAAATGTTCTTACGGTCTCTGCTCCTGTTCCTCTGCAAACATTGCAGTTTAAGTGTCATCTATAGCCGTACGATCGAGTCCGGCTTCTTACGACTTTCCATTCAGCGCAGGTGGCGTTACTCTCGTCCCGAAAGACAAGCGACCTCGGCGAGGCGTCAGCCGTCTATTCTCTCTCAGAGGCTCGAAAAGGGTGATCATGCTGCTCGTACAAAAGGTTAGGAAGTGACAGAGGTGCTCTCAATGGATTTGATGAGCCGTCAACGTTACTCGTCACACGTCATTTTACCTTCGAAGGGCTCAAACGGGGAGAGGGGTCAGACGAGGCCGTTCGGAGCTACCGCAGACGTCGGTGGCAGCTCGGTACAGCAGCACTCTATCCGCGGCCCAGACCCCGCCCTCTTCTCTTCTCTGATTGGCTGAGAGATGACGACCCCGTCCTGCCTGGGGGCCCACCGGGTCAGAGACCTTGCCCCAGTCTCCGGTGACCTGCGCTGGTCGGCGGCGCTGTCCGGGTGGCGTTCTGTTCGTGATTTAGGTTTTGAAACGTGGCAGCTAAGTCCTTAAAAATACCTGTATACGGTTTTTAGCTTTATTTCGTACCACTTTTTAAGGAAGTGAATTGTGAATGGGACTGGGCGCATGAAATGAGTGAGTCATTCTATCGAAATTCGAAAGATGTCTATCAGTCGTCTGGTGCATCCGCGAGCGCCGGGAGCGCCCAGAAAGCTTCTTCGACCCCGGCAGCTGCCCTCTCCGAGTCGACCAGCAGCAGCAGCAGCAGCCGCAGCCGCAGCAGCCGCAGCAGCAGCAGCAGCCGCAGCAGCAGCAGCAGCAGCAGCAGCAGCAGCAGTGACAGCAGCGCAGCAGGCGCCGACGGCTGCAGCGGTCAGCATGGCGACTCCACGGCGTGTGCAGCGGACTCCATCCCCGCCGTCCCGGTAAATGACCGGAGAGGTGCAAATGTGGCTGGAAAACGGGCGTCTACGTATGTGTCGTCTAACGGGTCTGTCGATGACACGAGAAGGCTCCCGTCTGACAGCAGTCGTGCGACCGACGGTGCAGCCTCTCGCGATGGCTGCGACCACAGCCAGAGCTCTCTGGGAGGTGTGGAGAGGACCGATGCCGTCGAGGCCTCTCATGCTTACCCTCAATGGAGACACGTAGCCGAGCAGGATCATCCGGTTGTCAGAGACGGTCTAACTGAGGCTCACAGGGTAAGTTGAGTGATAATGCGGGCTAGTTGGTACGCAAGTCCGGCTGTACCGTTTAACTTTTTCGGTTTCGGTTACGCTATAAATGTTAAGTTATGTTATAAGGTAAATGCTAGTTAACGATCATGTTTGTTCATGTGTTAGACGGTGCCAAAGTGATGTTCTTATAAAAATATTTAAGTTCGTTTAAGGTTTTGTTTAATTCTATTCGACTATACGGCACACTGTTGGGCCACGTACCGCAGTTTTATTCTGTTTTATGTCATTTGTTTCTTTATTTAATTAATAGTTCATTTTTTACTAGTCAGTGAAGACTGAGAGGAGTCGGGGACCATAATCGATACCTTAGCTCCTCTGTAGAAAGTGCAACATATTCGGCGTGCCAGTGCCTGCCTGCTGGCACAACGACACTCAGCATGTCAGCCAGACTGACGGCGGCTCCTCTTCCTACAGCAACTCGTGCGTTCCTCCTCCGTGAGCGCATCCTGGCCTCCGTGGATCACCCGAGAGGACGGCCGCACCGCTGAGGAGAACGGATGGGAGGACGAGCCGAGGACTCTGCAGCCAGAGTCGTACCGCTCCTCCGCTCCGGAACTGAACCAGGACGCCGCCTCCTCCACCCACACTCTGTCCTCGGACAGCCGGTCTCTGACTATCGTCACTGACGAGTCGCTACCAGAAACCGACCTCAGCTCGTCCTCGGAGGAGACCACAGTTCGAGAGGAGCCGGGCTCGGGGGATAGCTCGATCCTGGCCGCTGGAGATGATTCAACGGCGGTAAGTACTGATCCGAACCGGAAGTTAACGGGAAGGATTGCAAAACTAGAGGGAAAGGCTGTGCCTGGCGTAGTGACTACGAGAGCGAAAGGGCACACTTATTGATGCTGACTGCTCAGTGCTCATAGTGAAATCTGAGTTTACCCACTTCAGCCAGAAAACGTGAAAGAACTTTTGAACATAAGGCTGCTGGCCAAGCCATTGACTGGCAGTTTTGTTATAACTACAATCTACATTTTAAAACTAAGCATTTATCTAGAGTTATTATCGATGATACTGATCAGCGTACTGAAATATTTTCGGATCTGAGCTCTGAACCCCAGTTACAAATACGGCGTGAAATATCTTTCGCCGGCAAGATAAAAACGAAAAAAATATAGTTCTAAAATCATGCTGAATTGCACGGAAGACTCATCGACCAGCCTCTTTTTTTATCCAGCAATCCTCGATGCAGTAATAACTTTGTCTTTGTAAACGGCTATACGGACACATTTACTATGTTTTACTACGACGTGTTATGTGTTCTTTCAGCGACGTCCGTCTGCAATCCGGGCTCCGAACATCTCTGCTCAGGCCCGGGACAGCGGAACAGAGCCACGGACAGGACTCAACGGACGGCAGTCGGATGAAGGAAGGAATAACGCTGGCGGCGCTCAGCAGGGACGGGTTAATGACGGCAGCGGCACACCTGGCGGAGACAGGGGTACAGTCAACGCACAAGGTGAAAATTATCATGGCGATGAAGACCAAAATGGAGCACGTTTGGAAGACGATAGCCTTAGGCATCAAAACGGTGACTCTGGAAACACAAATAGGATGGGATATAACGACCTAGATGCTGTTTATCGGAGTCATTTCGGTTCGATCCAAGGAAGACAGGCCCTTACCAACTCGAGACCAGAGAGACCGGAACTCGGCGGCTATGAGTGTTACCCGTCAAATAGCACGGAACTGATTTACCATGAGGCGAGGCATTCCGGAACGGCGAATATTGTGGGAAGGAACTACGGCAGCTTCTTTCGGGATGGTCACAGTGGCTTCATGTGGGCTTATGATGCCGTCGAACCAACCGGTGACTTCCCGAGTCATTTGGTCACCATCCACAGCGAATCGAGCCCAGTTCCCGTGCAAATCCGCAGCGGGACAAACCATCCCCCCGGGCCGAACCACGAGAAACTGAGTAATGTCGGACCAAGCCACGCTGGACCTAGCCACGTCGAACCAAGCCACATCGGATCTAGCCACTCAGGACCTAGCCAGCTCGAGCCCAGTCACATGCTGCTCAACCACGCCGGGTCGAGTAGTGTGGGTGTAGCTTACACCGAGTTCAATGCCAGACCAAGTTATGCCGAACCGAGCAACTACGAACCAAGCCACGTCACTCTTAGCCGCACCGAGCCAAGTAACGCAGGACCAGATCACCACGGACCGAGTCACGCTGAACCGAGCGGTGTCTGGGCTCCGCACACTGACCAGAGCCACCAAGGAGCGGGGTACGGGGCCGTGAGTCGACCTCTGACGACCCCGGTGACCTCCGACAGCAGTGAGACGTCCAGCAGCGGCACCCCCGGCCTGGTCATCGTCACCGATGAGGAAGAGGGAGAGGAGGGAGAGGAGGTGGATGTGGAAGCCGGTGAGGGAGCGAATAGCGCCGACCTCGCTCGCTGGAGGGTCGCCGCCGCCGACTCAGCGCTCGTCGCTGGCGATGAGGTAAGTTCGGATTTGGTTTGTCCGAGAATAGTTTAAAACGGATCCTTGGAGGGCCTGAGAATCGCACACAAAAGGTGTGCTGGCTTTGAACTTTTGCCTGGTACTCAGGTAAACAATCATTTGGTTCAGCTGTAACACTTACATAATAAGCATTGCTCTATAGTGGGACGACGGACGTCCTAGACGGTTTCTCTTATGGTGCATTTAAACGACTTGTCTATCATTCACATTGTAATAAGTGACACTATTATAGTTGTCAATTCAATATAAATTCAGTTGATGTGAATGAACAGCTATCTGTCCATTCCGATATACCTACATCATAGATGTAGGTATCTAATTATGTCAAAATGTTTTCTTACGCCATAGGTATCGCGGACATGCGGAAACTGCGGCACCTCAGGACGGGAAGTAACCTTTATCAAGATACAAGGTGAGGAAGGAGCAGCCATGTATTTGGAAAGTTGTACTGGAAGTGGACACGTTTTTTACTGCAAGGGTTTTCTTTACTGGCTGTCAATATTTGTTGGCATGCGACTTACGAGCAATTACCTTCTTATGAAAATATGTAAAATGTAGCCCAGTATGACTAAAAATGTAAAAAGTGTAGCCCAGCATGACTAATGACTATATAGTATGCAATATGCAATTGCATTGCATCACAATATAAACAGACGGGTTCGCTAAATCGTCAAGGACAGTTACTAGGCAGTATATAACCGCCTTTTATGTATAGTTATGGTAGGTACCCAAGTACTGATGCGTCCCTCATGCGTGGTTTCGCAACCTGCTAACCTCATTTACGAGATTCAGAAGTTATCTAAAATGACCAGTTAGTTGGTACCCTCTATCTCCTAGTCAGATTGACTGACCGAATTGCGCACACATTTGTTTTTGACTATATCAATATCGCTGCTCCGTCCGCAGGCGTACCGCACTGTTTAGCGTGCTACAAGTACAAGAGACGCAGGGGAAGCCACCGACCCCAGTATCTATGGAACAGGCCAAGGTCAAACAGAGGTAAGAAGCCTAAAATAATAAAGGTAATTTAAAGTTCGTCCTCTTGTGAACGTCCGTTCCCCGGCCCTTTGACTTTATCACGGCCTTCGTTACGTCACACTACACGGCTAAAGCAGTGCGGCACAGCATCCACCCAGGCGCTTTAGGCTGCTGCCATCTAGCGGCTGGAATGGAAGCTTCTATATGTTCTGCGGTACAGCCTATCTTCAGGCGTACAACGCTAGAGGCATCTAGCGGCGCTAGTATGAACCACTCAGCGGCAGCGGCGGAACCACAGGCGAACGATGCATGAACTGTGGTTTTTGGAACCTGACCGTTCGGGACAAGCGCTGAACAAAAAGTTCATTATCGTTTTACGGTTTTACCGAGCGACTTTTGACTGCTGACATTGCTGTTGTTTGCACCTATTTCCCACTACCTATGTATTGTTTTCATTGAAAGCTGAATTGGCAAAAAAATTATGTCGACTCTTGATGCGTGAAAACATGATCGATCTACCTTCGCCTATACACATGGGTCATGACCTCAATTCTCTATAAGGTGAGAAAGCCTGAACGTTTGTCTGAACCATTTTGTTCCAACTTCCAGTCGCAACGAGCAAGTCACCAGGCCGTTCCGGGAAGAATGAAACCGAGGCGTCTTCTCGACAACGAACACTTAAACGAAAACAAACGCCTCAACAGCCAATAGCTCAACAACAACAATCACCTCCTCGAGAACAGGCACTCACGGTAATAAATGTCTCTGGGTCTTTTGAATTAGGCATAGCCACTTTGCAACAAATTCGATGACATGGGATTAAACGTCCTGAATAAGCGAATTAACACCTAGTTATATAGTTAAATTGCGCCCTATTTATCATTTTAAGGATACCAGATTAGCCTGTAAGATCTAAATAGGACGAGTACAAAAAGTTATGACATTTTGGAAAAGATGTCGAGCGCTTTCGCCTGTAACAGTGTGACAGTGAACTTCCGCAAATATTATATTGTTCTTGCTTGCTAAGCACTTTGAATGGTTAGCAGACGAATGATAAAAGCCTAAGCATAATGATACAGTTAATCCGAAAAAATGTTAGAGCCTTAGTTGGTAGACTGAATGTTATGTTCTCTCCCCAGGCGCCATCTGTACGGGTTCGAGTGGTGTCCCCATCGCTGAACTTCTACGGCAGCACAGGTGGCAGTGAGCCGAGACAAGATCGAGGAGCCGCCCGTCGCTCGGATTCATCTCCCAGTGGCGGACCTCGCAGCCGTCAGCCGAGAGACGGGCAGCAACATGAACTTCAGGGCAACCAACAACCGTCCAATGGACAGGAAAACGGGACGAACGGGACATCAGGCAGCGAACCACCGGGTGGTCGACAGCACGACATAGCACGTCAGGCCAACGGACAGCGTGTCATCGGAGCACAGGAAAACGAACAACAGCTTGCCATTCAAGGGCCGCAGGACAACGGACACCAAAATCAAGCCCGTCAGAACAACGGGGAACGGGGCTTTGGCAGGCATGAGCGCCATGGGCCATGGCGACAGGACGTCCGACAGGAGCTGGAGGGCAACGATGGACAAAATATCGCACAACAGGTCATCAGACAACGGATCAGACAACGGATCAGACAACGGAATATCGCTCCTCAGGGCAGCGCAGATCAGGTCGTCGCACATCAGGGCAGAGCACATCAGGGCAGCGCACACCAGGGCTTCGCGGATCAGTTCGCCGCTCATCAGGGCTGCAGACCACGGACTGTTCGCCAGGATGGTCATGGGGGCAGAGAATCTGGGCAACAAAGCCATGAACAGCAGGGTAGTGGACACCGTGACAGCAGCTCCCGAAGGAACGGGTCTTGCGACTATATGTTCCAGAACATCGGCGAGCGAAGTCACGAGAGACGAGACACCGAACAGCAGAGTCGCGAGCGACAGGGCGATGGAAAGCCGAGCCATGAGCAGCATGATTTCGAGCAGCATGATGACGGGAAGGACACCGGACAAGAAATCTGCGAAGAAAACGTCAAACAAGAAGAATGTGAAATACAGGAGAGTGAGCAACACGATGTGAACAGCCAACAGCCCAGTCAGCATCACGAACAGAAATACGAAGATCAGGACGAAAAACCTAGACGCGCCGCAGACCACGACGAAGAACCTAGGCACGCCGATGGTCAAAACGTACAGCCAGGGCGCGCTTATGGTCAAGACGAGCAGCCCAAGCGCGCCGAAGGTCAAGGCGAACAGCTCAGGCGCGCCGAAAATCCGGACGAAGCACCTAGGCGGCCCGATCCAGGCGTCCATCCCGCCGCTGAGCAGGCGCCGAACCGGTGTCAAATTTTCTGCCGGGGCCAAGAAGATGACTTACTTGAATTATGGCGGAACGATATGCTACGACAGCATGGGAGGCTGCCGCTGTGGGATGCACCGGATCCATGGGAGAGAAAATTCCTCCATACGCTGCCGTGGGGGCTGCCGATGCCGCCTATGCCACCGTATGGGCTGCCCCCGCGGCCGGGGGATCCGCCTATGTCACCGTGGGGGATCGATCGGCGGATAAGCTGCGGGCGTAACGACAGACGGCTGCGAAGGTGGGAGCCTCACGACCGGCCGCTGCGACAGTGGGAAGTTCGTCACCCGCTGTGGCAGCTGAGTGGGGCAGAGCACCAGCCACTGTGGCCGCAGGGAAGGGCTGACGGCCAGCAGCCGCCGACGGGAGCTGAGGGTCAGATGTGGCCGCCGAGGGAAGCTAAGGGTCAGCAGACGCGAGGCGTGCAACTGTGCCAGTGTCCCGAACAGATAGAATTGCTGGCCAGGAATCTGCAACGGCAGGTGCTGCGACTGGAGAACGAGTTGCTGGGAATGAATCACAGGATTGAAGCCGAGGACCACGCAGGAGACGCTGAGCAAGAGGCGAGTGATGTTGAGCTAAAACCGAGAGACGCCGGGGAAGGGGCAAGAAGCGCCGTGAAAGCGACAGGAGGCACCGAACAGGATGCAAAAGACGCTGAGCAAGAAGCCAGAGGCGCCGAGCAACAGGCTAGAGACGCTGAATGACCCGATGCTGATGTTCGCGACGTACCTGACGACGGCGCAAGGGATATCGTCCAACTATCGCACGGCCCGTAACGTCGATGTTTTCGCAGCCATGACGGCGACGACTGTGACCTAGGATAGGTCTGGACTGCGGGAAACTCCAGACTGTTGCTCATATTTTTAGATGAACATTTCGCTTGGATTCCTTTGGGCTTTTCCTCCTTTCATCTTGGCGCGATCTTTCAATCTCATTCTTTTAACAAACCAAGCTTCAAAGTTTCTCAGTTTTAGTTTATGACTCATGCGACCAATAGAAGTTTGATCACGATACAGAGCTCCGCAGTTCGCCGCCGTGTGTCGATGATGTGGAATGTTTTCGGGGAACCACTTTCGAGCGGCAACTGCTCAAATAAAACATTTTTATGCCTGTACTGAAGCAACGTTCGTGTGCGTTGGAAAATGTATCCACTGTCGGCAATAAACGGGTACCACATCACGGAACATGAAGTCGTTTGGAGGAAAAATACTCGAGTCGAAGTGTTCCAGAGGTAATAGTTTTGCTATAGACCTTCGTAGACAAGTTCATAGCACATTAGTAAAGCGAAACCCAGGATAGCATGAAAACCTTGGTCATGTTATTCACAGAAGCAATACCATACCCTATCGCCTTAAGGATGCAGGTGTTCGTTTGAAAACATTCATTAGCTAACGCAGATATCCCGAGCGTGAGGTCTACCCGGACACGGGTATAACGAGCCTGCATTCACAGAAGTAGGATTCCGCGAGTAACACACTCGCATACCTACTAAAAGTTTATATTCATACCGTTTACGGGCATCAATATGACATTGCAATGCGTTGTTATACTACAAGGACCGTATCACAACTAAGGATACCAACACTGTGCACCCAACCAATCACATTTACCATAGATATTGGCGATTTCCGCGATAAACTTATTTTTATGTCATAGAATTAATGGAAATCGACTAGAAAAACTAGCCATGTTGTCGCTCTCGCACACGCACACGCGCACAACTACGCACCGGGATTACCAACCATGCATAAGCTCGTTGCATCGCCTGCGCGTTGTCGACTCCCACCTGCACCCCAGTCCTGTCGCGAGGCACCAACCGACCGATAAGCCCTGATCCAGTCCGCACCACACACCGCGCTCCAACCTATGCCTCATGCGGAATCACTCACGCAAGATGAGTGATTCGCTTGTGGATTGTCTTTGTAGTGTCGTGTCACCAAGCCTAGATATATAAGCCTGGTTGATATTTGTAACTAATTTAATACGTATCGGTAGTGACATACGTATATCGTGGGTTCGCTTACAATCAGCAAAAATCATTTGTCGCTACTAGTTTGTACGCGTCAGCCGGCGAACACGACAAACCAGTCCCCCGGTCACCAGTGCAAAAATGCCCACCGTTCGCACACGGACACACCCAGCCACCACGCCAGCATCGCTCTGGCTGCGCCCATGACACACCACATTCCCAGTGTCCTTTCACAATCCAGCCACCACCACTGTACCCATCCCCGCTCCGCGCACACTCCCATAGCGTCCTCTCGCCATCACGATACCACTCTGACTCCGGGCACAGCCATCGTACTGGCTCCGCTCACGATATCCCCCTCACTCGGATCGTTCTGTCCTGGGTGGTATCAGCCGGTCTTTCCACGTGTTATTCACTAACAGGTTGTAGTTCACATAGCTACAGTATTTCTCCGTCAGAAACGGAACGTAGAACGCGCGCAGTAACCGGTTCGATCGCGACGCGTCTAAGAAAGGTGTCGAGTGCAGCACTGTCCAGCGGTGTGGCTGACGCGAGTACGCCGGCTCACGCGGTGAGGCGGGAGTGTCGGCGTCCACGAGGAACTGGCACTGAGTCGCGGACACGTACCGACTCGGCTCTTCCGCGTTCCGGTCGTTGAAGCCGTCTCGTTCGATGCGAGTGCCATTAGGCCCGGCGGCGTAGTATTGAGGCAGCTGCCCGCGGAACTCTGATTCCAGGAAGCCCAGACGCCACTCGAGCTCTGGGATGAAGAAACTGGACGGGAAGCGGTACCACTCCTTGCCAACGCACACCATGAGGGCCTGGCGAGGTTTGGTCATGTCCTCGGCGGCCATACGGTTCAGTTCCATGAACACGTCGAAGGGTGCGTGGAAGGCGCGGTACTGGCCGACGATCCTGGATAGGGAGGCGGTGCCGTATAAGGCCAGGACACTCACTGCAAGCCAGCCGGTGCGCTGGAGGTAATGAGACGCCTTGGCGCTGACCAGCAGGTGGTACCACAGCTTCTGTAACGAGTCCAGGCACACGGCCGCCGCCAGACACAGCAGCGGGTACGCCGGGAACAGGAAGCGCTCCTCCTTGTGTGCCTGGGCGCCGAACACCGCCAGCCAGAGGTAGAGAGGCAGCAGCCCGAGCCAGCTGGGCAGATAGAGAGGGCTCTTACGCGGCAGGCCGATGATCAGACTGACCAGCGCGCAGGCTGGCAGCGCCGCCAGAGCCAGCGGGAAGCCGATGTTGAAGTTGAGCAGGCCGTTCACCAGGTAGTACGACAGAGGTTCCGTGCCGTACAGGTTCGCTCCCGTCTTCGAAAACACGTTGTAGGTGACGATGTTCAGTGGCGCAGACACCAGCCTTCCGTACAAGTCCGAGTCGATCTTGGTCATGGGCGCCACGAGTACCACCAGACTCACCAACGACCATTTGACGAACAGCCAGATCTGACGCTGTCGGAACAGCACGTCCAACGCGATGGGTGCACCCAGCAGGGCAGCGAACGGCCAACCGAGCAGGGTCGACACGGCGGTGGCGAATATGGCCAGCGGATAGTGTTGACGGAACCAGGCGCCCATCGACACGAGCGTCATGTACATGGCGAAGCTGGAGGGCAGGTAGGCAGCGCTAGCGATGAACATCCCCGCCGACAGCACCAAGAAGCCCAGCGTCAGCCTGCCGATGTTGGCACCGAACTCTCTGCACACGCCGCGGTAGAAGTACACCTCACATAGCGAGCACGCCAGGCCCAGCACACAGCGCAGGAAGTAGAACACCAGCAGACGGTTGCTCTGGAGCAGGGCGGCGTACAGGTGCGCCGGCAATGCGTGCACTAACAGGTAGGCGTAGGAGCGGAGCGCGAACCGCGGCGCGTACTCCCAGGTCTGCAGGCCGGTGCCGTAGAGCAGGTAGTGCGTCGGCTCCCAGTAGTTGAACGTCTCGTCGCAGTCCTGGATGTTGTTCCAGATGGCGGCGCAGAGTCGGGCCGAGAGGATCACCTTGAAGGCCGTGTAGCCGCTCGGCGTCCACGGCTCGAGGCCGGACGGTGCCAGCGGCGGCCGCGGCGGTGCCGAGGGGGGCGGCGCCGCCGTCTCGCCGCCGGCTGGGTCGCGGCTCTGCCGCTGCTGGCGCAGCTCCCTGCGCATCTCCTTCCGCGAGGCCGTCTTCCGGTTGCGGGTCGGCGGTGCCATGATTATTGAGTTTGACGGATGTGAGTTTCTCTGACTACTTCTGCCTTGTTTTATTCAGCTGAATGCAGTGGCTCTGATATCAGAGCCAGGGAAATCTATCATTAAATCAACCTCTCCATCAAATCTGAGTCATCAATAAGCATTGGCCTTTCTTCTCTTAAAGGTTTTGTTGAGTTCAGACTCATCACCTGATAAAAAAACACAACATAAATATCATCACATAACGCACCTAGCTTTTTTTACAAATCAGCAGTTGTTAATTATATTGTGGCTGGCTGGATAAAACTTCTAAGTTCAAAAAAAACATTAAAACAGATTAATAATGAACTACCTGGTGCCAAAACATGTTAATGAAACAGTACACAAAAGATCAATGGAAAATTACTGAAAAGTCCAGGATCCACAGTACCTGCTGCTACCTACCTATATTCAAAATTTATCTCATCAACTTCCATCTACATTTAGCTTGACTTCCAAACAATCCAAGGTGACTGAGCTGTTTGGCAACTGACACTAGGACAGTATGTTGTACCTACTTCTCTTATTTCTACTAGAGACAGACTAGACTGGTAAATGTTTAATGATAATTTGCTTAAATGGTAGCCACTCCTCATAGCTGGTGGTGATGGATTAGGAAAGAGCTTGTATGCACCTGGAAAACAGTGAACTTTGACCAGCAAATGAACAGGGTCTTGCCTCTCTACATTTGACAACCACTTTGTGCTCTGGCTCAAAAGTCACAAATCAAACAAGGATAAACACTACCAAGATCAGCAGTGTATGAGGTATGAGCTTATCAATGATTAGATAAGGATTAAGAATTTGATACCTAAAATTTTCAAGCTAAATGAACATCAGCATGTGTTGTATGATGAGCGAATAACATGTGTCAACAAAGCAAAATAGAACATGTTGATTGTTGATGCATGCAGCAAATCCATTTCAAGGATTGTCTAAAAATCAACTACCACCTGACCTAAAAATTAAAAGGAGGGATGACACAGTAACAAATCAAAGAGCTCAACTGAGTCAACTGGTCATGCTTGAGGTCGAGGATTGATTTTTAAGCACACTAAATTCAAATTACGTAGGTGAGCATCTAGGAAAAACTGGCCCCTTGTTCCTGGAACGTAGAGTCTAAAGAAGCTCACACAGTCTCAATTAATCTTTTCTAATTCATTATCCTAAAAAATAGAAATTACATCAGCGTAACAACATATTAGTCAAATTCAATCTCGATTTTGTCAAGCATTGGCATTTGGCACCACTCCAGTTACACAACGATAGATCCTTTAACAGCGGAAAACGATCAAAATATAGCGAAGCCATTCCAAGAAAAGATCTTGAGCACAGCAATAAACTGCAACAGAAATTAATATCAAATTAAATTAATGTCAAATAACTAACACACCATGTCAATGTAATACACGGCCCGCCGGTGAAAATTGTTGCGCCAGCCAATGTCGACAACGCGTCATGAAATGAATGTGTAAAGGGCGGCTTCCATTTTACCCAAAATTTTACCTCATCTTTCCATTTTCCTTCACCATGGATTCACAGTACGTAATCCAGCTCGCGCAATCTGCCCTGTCACGGATTAGGATTACTTCCTCCATAGTCCTGCCCTGTTACTTTGCATTCCCTCAGTCAGTATAATAACGGCAGACTTGCCGTAATCTCTAAGGTAATCTCATTTTTCAATGGCATTGATGTTCTGTTAGTTGCTAGTTGCTACACTTTCGCGTTTTCGCACAGAGCCAAAACATTTATTTTTTAGCAGAAGAAAAGAAGGTGCATGAGGTCAGGGGGGACACCAAGAAGGCAAACCAGTCAAAACACAAGCTAAAAATCTGGAATGTATATTCCACTATTTTATCGACAGACTGCTACAAAGCTAAACGTTTGGCGTCATTGAAAACGAAAAACGAGGTTTCAAATAAAACGCTCGGAATAACAAGACATACCTGGCTAAAATGCAGTCGAAAATGTCGCATACCTACTCTTTCTGAGCTATCTTTCAAAATGCATGTAATGTCCATAGCTCATTGAAGCGATCTTATGCTAAACGACATAGTTAAACCTAGCTGGCGAATGCGGATGATACAACAAGCAGATAGCAAACGCAAATGCATATTGAGTGAAACACGGTGATGCCATAACACGGTGCTTGACAATGCTCGACATTACTCCTAAAAATCGCAGAAAGCAACTGGACGGACGCGTTGCTAAAGGCAGACAGACGGACATCGGCCGCCAGGATTCTCTTTGAAGTCCGGTCCTTCGTTGGCACCCGCAGCCACGACGAGCACGCCGAGGCGGGGCACAATATCGTACCCGGCTCCAGGCCGCCGCAGACTTTCCCTTACCACTAGACGCACCGTTCAGAATACGACGGTTAGATTCTCCTTTTCAGTACCAGGTAACGGTTCCTCAGCAAGGTCCAAAGCCACAGTTCGGAGTCAAACCGACGTCACTTGGCAGCAGTCGCAGTAAAGCCGGCGCAGAAAAAGACTCGCCTCCGTGACAAGACCCACAGTTCAAAATGGAATGCACTGGACGGATCGAATTATCTCACAACTCATCACTGGAACGTCTCATTCCCTCCCTCAGATCCTGAAATCACTCGAGCTCCCGCAACCATCACTCATATGTAAAGGAGATACAATAAAGATTCACTGGAAGAACATGATAAAAACGACTGCGCGTTCATCTGTAACTGTCCTACGCAAAACCTTACTTCAACTTCGTACAGATCTACGTACTCACAAGAGCTTACTGACAAACACCCACTCCAAGTACACACATTCTAAATCACAACAATCACATCCACACACCACACACAAACAGACGTTTGTCGGAAAGCAGCGAGTCAGCGGGATGATTGACGCTGTCGCCTTCAGACGGCACCCGTCACTCTCAGCCAGACCAGGCAGGCGGCCAGCGGCGCCAGCACGTGCAGGATGGCCTGTTCTAGGCGGGACGAGCCGCCGCGCAGGTCGTCAGGGTTACCTGTGAACACAGACGGTCGGTCAGGCCATGGGACGGACGGGGATGGGGCAGTTCAGACCGAAAAGGGATCGAGAACGGCCGAATTACCATTCTCACCGCATTATGATGCGGGATATCATGTCATATTTTTATCTTGGAAAGGAAAGCCCTTTCTTTTGTGCATTTCACTCGATTTGGCTCTAAGCAAAATCACATCCGAAGGAACCTTGATGGTTTATCGAGCTTGCGCAAAGTCCTTTTGTTTGTGAAAAAGTGAAATTAATTTGTTCAAAAAGGCAGTCTTCTACTGCAGGCTAGCGCGGGGGCAGACTCAGACTCGCAGGGAGTACTCCTGAGCTGTAGATCTCGCCCAAAACAGGGCCGCATCCTAAAGCACCAAACTCCGCAATCTGATCGGCGGAACTCACCCATCTGGAACTGCCACTCTGGAGAGCTCATCTTGCCGTCACCGCCGGCGCTGTAGGCCAGCACACGCAGTTTGTACCAGGCTCCCGGCTCCAGGTCATTGATATAGGCCTCCAGACGCTGGCCCAGCGGCACGTACGTGTCGTTTGCGTCCGAGATGTCCTGGTCGCGCTCCCACACACGCACCTGACGCGCAGAGGACGGGTGGGGTCAGAGGGTTATGGCATCGGACCTGAAGATAATGCTTTTCATGTCATAGATCAGCGAAGACACACTAAATGATGAGGGGAAGAACAAATAAATACACCTCTGCTGACTTCTCTCTACCAACGCATGGTCCCCAAGACATCTACAAATCCCTCACACAGCCCATCCCGTAGAAGTTCTCACCTTGAATCCTCTAAGCGGTTCCTCGTCTACACTGGGCGAGGCGATTCGCCATGTCACGCGCACGGTGCGCGGGTTGATCGGCTCCACATTGACGGCAGTGGGTGGGTTGAGCGGCGCGTTCTTGTACGTTCTCTCCAGGAACCGCTCACTCTCCTGTCCCGATCCGGCAGAGTTGTAGGCCATGACACGCACGTAGTATTCGGTAAAAGGCTGCAGACCCACCACCAGCGCCCACGGCTCCAGGGACGACTTGAGCAGGATCAGAGACTCTGTGGCCTCGTCGGCGTCCCGGATCCAGTACTTGACACGGTGACCCAGCAGGCGGCCGCGCAGACCCTCGCGCGTGTGCTCGATCGGACGCCAGGTGACATTGAGAGCCGTGGAGTTGTACGCCTTGGCGGCCACCTCAGTGGGCACGGCCTGGGGCATACCCTCGGCGCTGTAGATGATGTATTCCTCAGAGATGGGACCGGCACCCATCGAGTTGAACGCCTGTGCACGGACGGAAAGGGGAGGGATTGGAGGGTCACATCACTTCATGGGTGATGTAGCGGGGCGTATAGATAAACAGAAGACAACAATCAGACGCAAACGGAAATGAGCTGTGTACCACGCAACTGACAACTACAACTACCTCATTAACGAAATGCCGTTTGCAATCATGTTACGGAGGTCGTGAAAACAAAAGTTTCTCAGGAAAACAACAATAGCAGTTCCTAATTAAAACCTAAGCGCGACGTTGGATACTACACTCAAATAAGATATTGCGAGCACACGCACTCCCATGCCTCAAAATCCGCGGGCCTGCGTTGGTGCTTCTTCGTTACTCACCTGCACTTTGACCTTGTACTGGCTGTAGAAATACTTTCTCTGGATGGTGACCACGTACTGTCCGATGTTGCCGTACTCTTCGAGCGTCTTCTCGTTGTAGTCGATCTCGGGCTCAATCTCGTGGCGCATCCAGAACACCTTGTAGTAGACGCCCGGAGCGTTTCGGTACCGGTCCGTCAGCGGCTGAAAGACGGGGGGGGGGGGGGGTCAGACAAACGACGCACGGAATAGACGGGCAGCCGTTGACCGAGATGGATGGATCGTAATGAACAGAGGAGACGGGCCATCGCAAAAAGGTGATTTGGTCTAAGGTAGAAAATCCTTTGAAATGTAGCGCGCTATTATCCAAGTTGACTGTTGACAGATTTGTAGGTCAAGTTATCGAATCCGACTAATGTGCTGCACATTAGTCGGATTCGATAACTTCACTACGATTCATGAATAACTCCACCCAATTCAATTTCAGGGAAACAAAACAGATGCGAGCTGTTCCCACATGGATTGAATGAATCAATTCTTCTAATCCCCATCTTGCCGCTCTTCAAGCAGCCTCACCTTCCATTTGATGGTGAGGTCTCCAATCTTGCCTCCGCCGCCGTGGATCTGTGTGGGCGGCGTGAACGGCCGGGCCGGCGCCGTGTTGTAGCGCGGTGACGGCGGCGACGGCGGCCCGTAGCCCAGCGGGTTGGCGGCCGACACACGGAACTCGTACCACGAGAACGGCACCAGCAGGTCGGGGAACACGTACCGGCGGAGGGTGGTGATGCCCAGCGCGTCGCGCTCCACGGTGATGTCTGCAGGCGGTATAGACAGGGTGAGAGAGTGAAGTGAAATATGGTTGTGTGGTATCATAACGCTCACAGCGACAGTCTGCATAGTGTGTAAAAACCACACGACCAACAAGTCACAGACGACCGGGAATGCCTTAGAAAACTGTGCAGTCATGAGCCATAGCTGTAAAATTTAATATTTTCTGTCGACCCGTAATAGGCAGCCGCGTTCTGAGCTTCTAACATCCAAGTGAATAAACGATTTTTTTTTAAATCTTACCAAGTAAAGCACACAAGCGTATCAGATGTTTCACCGAACAATATCAACACACTGATATTGGATAGATAGATAGACGTCTTTGGATAGACGTCTTTCAAGGGTCCTCCTTCAGACCACATCTCACTCACTTTCTTTGATGATGAACCAGCTGCTATTCCAGTTGGTCCTCGCCTCGATCCGGTACATGCTGATGTGTCGGCCGTTATCGTCAAAGTCCTGCCACTCGAGTCTGCCCGACGTAGCGTTCAGCTCAAACGCCTGGACGCCGCCGGGGGCCTCCGGCGGGCCGGCGATGGTCAGTCGCGACTCGGCCGAGATCTCTCCTACAGCCGTGCGCGCCGTGCACCGGTACGTGCCGTCCTCCTCTAGAGACACGTTCCGGATCTGCAGGTATCCCGGCTGACGCAGTCGGTGGTAGCGGGTGTCGATCTCGTGGTAGTCGATGGGAATTCCGTTGTGCGTCCACACGTAGGCCAGGTCCAGGCCGGGGTCGGCCTCTGCCTCGCAGCGCAGGATCACCATGTCGTTCACTACCTTCACCATCAGTCGCTGCGGCTGCTCCACCATCACAGGGGCCTCTGTGAGAGAAGTCCGGCCAGGTCAGCCACGGTGGGTACCAACAAAAATGGAAACAGCCCGCCAACGAGTGCGCGTGATAAAGGAAACGTTGAAACAAAGTGCAGGAAGTTAACCGCGCAGGCGTGAGCGTAGCATATGCGCCATGACAATGCAATATCTAAATGCGCTCCTATAATACCTCAACCAACAAATGATTGCCAATTTCAAAGTGGCAAAACTTTGTAACCATATTCTTATTTAGCCATGCCCTGCAGTAAGCCTACGATCTCCCTGACGGTTCCTAATTCCACCCTCCTCCCCATCCCCTCCTTTGACTGACCGAGGACGCGCAGTCGGCCGGAGCTCGAGTCGGAGCCGTACTGGTTGGTGGCCGTGCACGTGTACTCTCCGGCGTCCTCCTGAGACACGGGGTCCAGCTGGAGGTAGCCGTTGGCGAGCACGCGCCGACGACCACCGGTACCTGGTAACGCAGACAGGGAGGGAAGGAGAATGGTTAGCGAGACAGGTAATACATAGGAGAGTAGCACTTGAGACACAGCACACTGTGTGTATATGAGAACTGCGGAGAAGGGCTGGTCATCGCCACACGAATGGGAAGCTGAGATAAGTGAAGACATACAACGGTGGTTACTGGTATCTGTGTAGCTGACGATAACCAGTAACCACACTGTTCTACGGTATCCCATCACATGTCCAAGCCAATACCATGCCAGATGTCATGGGTAACGACTGACTACTAACAAGGGATCACGGGTCACGGACTCACGATGTCACTCAGCAACGAATTCCCCATCATCCATCAATCACCCTCCCATGTTTCCCCACTTACCGATCGGCCGTCCGTCCAGCGTCCAGGTGATGTCAGGTCGCGGCGCCGCCTCAGGTTCACAGGCGATCGTCTGGTTCATGCCCAGGCCGGCGTACATTAGCGCCTCTAGCGGCTGCTTGGCGAACGACGGCGCGAAGGCGAGCACGCGCAGCTGGGCAGAGGAGTAGGTGCTGCCCAGCTGGTTGGTGGCGCGACACTGGTACATGGCCTGGTCAGTGTCAGTCACGTTCTTGAAGGTCAGAAGGCTGTCCTGGATCTCGATACGGGGGTCCTTCTCGAAATCCTGCCAATAAGAGAATAGAGATGACGAGTTGCTTCAATTAATCACGAAGAAAAGGTGGCAGCAATAAGACATGTGAGGGTTAGTGCCATTAGCGTGAGATACCAGACAGTGAAATGATTCGAGAAATTACTCGCGAGTAAGAGGTTTTTTCCCAAGTCCTCAGTCGAACAACAACAACCTCACCTTGGGATCGAGCACGACGCCGTTGCGAAGCCAGGCGTAGGTGACCTCTGGAATACCGAACGCCTCGCAGGTCCACGCCAGATCGCTGCCCTCGTTAATGTGCTGATCCTCCAGCGGAATGGTGAAGCGCGGCTTGGCTGTAGGTGGAACAGCGGAGGCGAGTTAAATGGTTGACATATGGAAGGGTGGTCATACTCGTAAATCACGGCAGTCAGCACTACACCAGTCACCAAAGGCCATCCATTCGGCAGGACAGCCGCCAGAGTACGGTACCGTTCCAACGACTAATGTCATGTTACATACCAGGCACAGCAACTGAATATCTAATAAAAATGGAATAATAAGCAATTGTAGCAATTGCAAAGCAACACAATACCAATGCTCTTCTAAAATCATGAAAACAAAGCCAAGAATCGAGGCGAACCCCAGCAGCATATTATCTGCCAACCACCGCCCGGCCAACTGTCATCAACTCACCCTGAATGCTGAGTGTCACGGAGGCCTCTGACGACACCTTGCTGTTACTGGCGCGGCACACATACTCGCCCTCATCCTCGACGCGCACCTCGGGCAGCGTCAGAACGCGGTCATAGTTGGTGAGGTGGGCGGCTCGCGGCAGGTCGCCGCCGCGCCGGGTCCAGTTGTAGTGCGGCACCGGGTAGCCGAAGGCCACACACTCGAGACGGACCTCCTCACCCTCCCGCGGCGCCTCCGGGAACGACTTGGGGAAGTTGTGCGCGAACCGCAGCTGCTGGTAGTTGGCTGGGGATGAGAGGGAGTGGTCAGATAGCGTCGATGGTAAAAGGTAGATGCAGATACGACGAACGGTCAGAAACGAATTACTAAGGATGGGGGAGGGGAGGGGACGATTGACAAGCATCAACAATGCATTCCACTGACAGAAAGTAGAACAATGGTTGATTGTCTGTGTAATGTACAAAAGTTGCAGCCATCAACCATACAACTTGACCGCAAATTGTCGAATGCAAAAAGCCAAGAACAGCTTATTGGTAAAATGTGACATTCCTCGTAGCTTCAAATAGAACTCATGGGATCAGCATTGCCAATAGCTTGATCTGCATTATGTTTTGAAAGATAAGGAAAGCGCACTTTATTCCTCGTCCCTCACCCCCACAAACAAACTTCCCTTTCTCCCAGCGGTACTCACAGTGGGCCTCAACATCCAGCCGGAACTTGGGTCCGATCTTGCCGTTTTCAGAGATGGTCGACTTGACGTTACACATGTACTCGGCCTGGTCAATCGTCTCCAGCGACGAAAAGTACAGATGGCCGTCGTGCGAGACGAACACGCGCTGATCTTCCTCGACGAAGTTGGGGAAGTAGTCGCGCACCCACAGGTAGTGTACCTCTGACGGTGGAACGGAGCACGGTCAGTGGAGGAGGATGCGCGACATGACATGCCGATAGCCTACTCACACACGCTATATACTCAGGCGCAAAATAATAAGACGCAAAACGTGACAAAAATACTGACCAAAGACACTAATTCCTTACGAACCTAAAAAAGTCCAAATAGCACACCACATAAACCCTTTACCAAATTCCAAAATCAACCCAACTTCACACTGACACAAACACTCGGCTCTTGCCGAGCGCCGCCGCCCATCCTCTCAGCGCCTCCATCCGTCTGGAGACGCACACTCACCTGGGAAATGTTGCGGAGGGTCGCAGTAGATGCCCTTGCCAAAGTTCATCTGTCCAATCTCGTTGGAGCGTTTCTGGTTGAACTCTCCGATGAGACCGAACGCCAGCTGAACACTCTCGGAGACGATGGTGCCGAACTTGTTGGTCGCGCGGCAGTGGTACTTGCCGCGCTCGCCCACCTGAGGTCGACAGGCAGTGACGGTCGAGGTCGACAAATATCAGCAATGTTTGCAACATGGCAACAACAAAACATGGTCTAGACTCTAGGTACAATTCACAATAATGAAAACCTCATTCAATGACAATAATAATTAAACTCATCTCGTGAGTTTAACGCCTCGGAAACAATAAAAACGTTTCAATATAACCTCATTAAAAACACCCACAAAAATGATGGCTAGGTCCAAGCCTCATCACGCGCCACCATAAAAATAAGACTCGGCTTTATCTAAAATTTGTAGCTGCGATCCCAACTTAGTTGATCAAAGCGGATCAAAGCCACCATCCGTGGACCGTTTACCAAGCCATACACTCGGAAACCCTCATCCGTCCGTCCCCCGTACCTGGTCGGGCGCGTAGATCATGAGTACGCCACCGCTGATGGTAAATCGCGAGTCCTTCAGCGGGTCCACCTTGTTGTAGATGAGCTTGTCGTCTTCGTACACCTCCTCGTACCACTCGTACGTGGGGTAAGGATACGCGTCGGCCAGACACCTGCGGGAGGAAAACACAGCGTGTCACTTTACACTCGTACGTGAGGTATGGGTTGTGGTAGGCGTCAGGCAGACAACTGCGGTGAGAGGAAGACCTGGCGAGTCATCTTATTATGCTCGTCATCTCCGAATGATATTGTTAACAGGTTGGTAAAGTCCAAAAGACACTTGGCCTACTAAAATACGGAGCAAGTGTATAGATTATCGCCAATACCCAGACTGCGTTACTTATAATATACGCCATGAAGCCCGCATCAGCAGAGTCGAGTAAACCGTCGAAACCACCCGGACACCCATTCCCCCCTTTCTGTCACCCGCTTCGCCCTGCTCACTTGATGGTGACGTCGTTCTTGGTGGAGCGCTGGCTGATGTCGAAGACGGCCGGCTTGGGCTGCAGCACCATCTTGGGTCCGCGGGGCACCAGCCGGGCCTCAGTCACGTCACGGCCGTATGTGTGGTCGCGCTCGCCGACATCGACAAAGTTCTGTTCGGAGAGTTTTATCTCGCAGATGTAGAGCAGCCGCTCGACGCCGGGCACCTTGCGCAGCCCCCACTGGCTGGACCCCTCGGAGAAACTGAAACAAAGACAGCGGAGAAGTCAGAGACCGGACAGGGTAACATCAAAAGCGGAGACGTTTTATTAGCAATACTCCACCAACAGCCGACTATCACTATGACTAGGAAGTATGGATCTTATCATCTTAGAGGCCCAATAGAGATGGGACGTCAGGAGATCACGTAAAATGCGATACATGGAGTATCTAAAAGACAGCAGAGCCTAAAACTGCATCTGCCCACACTAAAATGCTACCCAGGGAGCGCAAACACCCTGAGTCTGTCAACACTATAAGGAAGGTAGGTACTGCAGTGGCATATTATATAATCATTAGTGGTAATAGATACACTAACTAGGCATTATATAATCATACACCAAGGGGCCGTAATACGATAGGATCGCTGAAACGTCCCGCAGCACCGCCGACGGCCACCGTGCGGGACCAACCCACCTGTAGGCGGCGTAGCTCTTGTCGACGACGTTCTCCTGCTCGGGTAGGAAGGCGCTCTCCAGTCCCTGCAGCGGAGTGCTGTCGCCGTCGTTAGTCCACACGTTGGACGTCTGCTGGCGAGCGCCCATATACCTGTGGGACGGAGACGGTCACAGATACCGACAGCAGCTAGAATAACGAATAAATATATAAGCCAAATCCCATCATGGGGCTCAAGTATAATACATCATGACAATAACATAAACATGCTCTTGACCACTGTCATGTTCAGCGAGAGACGTGAAATAACAGAACCACCATACTAGCTGCGGCGACATCCAGCCCCCACATTGAGGGAGAAACTATGTGGGAGACATCGCTGCAGAAAGGGCGCTACTCACCAGTCGCGGTGCTGCGGGTCGTTATTGCGCAGCCAGTTCACCACGAACGCGTGCTCTTCCATTGTGTTGAGACTCATCAGGTCGGCAGCAAAACCCTACGAGGGGAGCAGGCACAGTCACATTACAAGTGGAACACTGCTGAAATACTGTGACAGAAGCCTAAGCTACCTTTACATGTTCCTAGACTAAGGTTTGATCCAATTTGATGCCTTGTTTTTCAAAAAGGTTTGATGGGGGTAGATTTGTTTGGATACAAATGACGAAACACAGCACTTCTTGCTAGCATGCAATACCCTCAAGGCTCAGGCTAAAAAACAATTGACCGTCCAGGATTTTGTCATTTTTTTGTGCACTTGTGCATTATTTGTAATCATGTTTCATATGTCTAGCACTTTTGGGCTCTTTTGTGGTTTGAATGGCTTCTTATCTACTGAATGAGCTCTTTCTATGCAGATAACTTTCCTTCTCTCTCTCTCTTCATCCTTTTCATTTGGCTGATCTAGGACTAAGGGAACCCCAAGCAGATAAATTCTTTGTTGATTTCATGAAAATGTATTTAGATGAATGAGCTCTTTCTATGCAGATTACTTTCCTTCTCTCTCTTCATGCTTTTCATTTGGCTGATCTAGGACTAAGGGAACCCCAAGCAGAGCAGATAACTTGTTCTTTGTTAATTGCATGAAAATGTATTTAGATTTTTCATAGATCATCAGCATTTGCTGCATGTACTGATAAACAAAATTGCATTTTTGACAGGCTTAATTTCATATGAACAAGCATCAAACATCAATACAAAAATGGGAAAATTCAGAAGCCACAATTTTAGAGGAACACAGCATGGTTTCTAAACCTAGCAGATTTGAAATAACAAACAATTTAAAACAATATTTCCTATCACTGTGCTTATCACCAAGCTAAGAGCAAGAAAATCAAGGTCAAACAAGTTCTTGGTAAATTGCCTCCAATACTATTGCCCAGCTATTTTTGCAGATTAGTACAGAGGCATACACTATCAAAAGAATGACTGAAATGGGGATGAGACATCAACTGTACAATGCATTTAAAAGGTATTTAGAACACTTTAACCATAAAGCTTAAATGATTATTTACTGTCTTCTTTGTACAAAGCCAACATAAATATTATTGGACTAACTCCAGATCAGGCATTCTGATAAGGTCCATAAAGCGAATCAGTATTAATAACATACAATCTTATAATTTAAGCATTCAGTTAATGATTTCCACTAAGGTGAGCTTGAAACTGGGGTTAAGGTTATTTGCAGCTGTGCTGAACACAATCTTGTAAGACTGACCTGACATGCCTCCCTTGCGGCATCCCTTCTCTTGATAGGGCTGCGCACAAAGCGGTAACAGGCATCCTCATACTGGACCCAGTTCTTCGGGCAGGTTGGATCATACCGAGCCAGCTGGGCTGCAGTGAAACCCAGCTGGACAACCAGCCCAAGCAGCAGTAACATCACTGGCTGAAAACATCAAAACCCATCTGTTAACTTGAGTTCCGTTGAATTGTGTCCCATCTGTAAATGAGCTCTGTTTCAAAAAGCCTAGTACATCAAATATGATATGAGATTGAACTTCTGAGGATATATCAATTTTCTCTTCTTAGAAAACATATAATGCATCAAAATCATTGCTACATAGGTTACATAATACATGAGTTACGCACAGCAGATAAAACAAAATACTGATACCTATTTGTTAAAGTAAGGGCTCACCTGCTAGTTCAATTCCGTACCCTGGCAGTATACAATCCAACTTATTAAGCCACTTCAAACAGATTGATTTGACTTAGCATAAAAATGGAATCAGCACGCTTAAAACATTTCAAATCATCAAAGTTCAAGTTGAAGTTGAAATAGGCAACTCAAACTATGAGACCAGGCTTGAACTTTTGGTGTTACACGTTCTGAAGGGCAAACTGGTTTTGAATAATGCTGAAATAAGTTGTTGGTATCGTTTTTTACAACCGACCAGCAAACTGAATGCAAAAATATACACACAAAGCACTCAAATTCAACTTTGTAACGGAAGGCGATGGGGGTTGCCGTTAATGATTTTCAAAATCTTAAGAAATGTTGAAATTATTTGAAATTATTTTATCTGGACACAGGTTTTTTTGAACTTAAACACAAATTAAAGAAATTTATTAGCAAATTTACTCAATTTCAAATAGCAAATGCCAATTTTTAGAGGTTTAAAAATATTTTTACTAAAAATTCCGCTAGGTGCACTACCAAAACTGAGGCAGGGCTGTCGATTGATCTATTGAATAACTTAAACCCTGGGTGGGGCTCCAAATGAGACGTAAATGACGCAGGATACTTCACAAGGAATGCTTTATAAAACTGTATATTCAAACTACGCCACAGCAAATAAACTACGCCACTTTGGAGACTGCAACAGATCACAAGGCCTAGCACCATTATCTTGAAGACTGCAACAACTCACGGGACAATATCCCGGAACGCTGATACGCTTTTGAAATTTGAAGGCCAATCAACCGTAGGTTGAAGCGTTGAGGTCTCGGGCGGCTCACTTGAACTCATTCCAGTCTCAATAGTCTTTTATTAAAAAGAGCGTAAACAGGCAACGGGATAAAATGGCCAGCTGCATAGAGAACTTGAATCACGAGGAGGGGCACTGGGCAGTAGGTACCTTGAAATGTTTTACTTGGAATAGCTCAGGGTGATTGTCCTTGGTACTTTGAATATGAAGATGATAAATTATACGTCTATGACATGTATGAAGACGATAGCTAAACTATTGGACTTTGCTAGTTAAGTGGATGATATCGGGTTAACCATTCTCTCTATCCCCAGTCCCACGTCCATATCACCCTCTTCCTCTCGATATCACACTCCCATGAAACGGGCTACCGGTCTTCCTTAATCCTTCCCTCCATACAGCCGATGAAGGGCAGATCCAATTGAAGCAAAGGTATTTCTCTGGGGCTATCACCGGTCATTTTAGCGAATGGGTGGTCCGTCACGCTAGTTTAGGTACTCCTGTCTCAATAGGATGGACTCAGCGACCGCGGCACATCAGTCGATAGTCAACTCAGCACGATGTCTCCTTATATCTTCTTGTTCAACGATCCTATAAAGACTGTTCTCATTTCTCAATGCACTGGGAGACGTCAGACGAGAGACCCTTACTCAGTAGTAAGCAAAACGAAATCCGTCCGTCGGGACGTAACTATACATTGAATCTTTTCCTTAAGGAAAAGATACGGATGATCATCATCCGTCCGTCAGCTCCTCGGGACTGACCGTCACCCATACCAGCTGTCCGGGTTATCTATGGGTGGTCTGGGTTGACTGTTCAGTGCTCCGGCAAAGATGTTCTGCCTCACACCAGCAGTGGCCCAACGGGATACAGGCTCAAGTGAAACATTCAAACGACAAGCTTATGTGTCTCACCGTTAGCCTTTTATCATGGAGAGAGGGAGAGAGAGAGAGAGAGAGAGAGAGAGAGAGAGAGAGAGAGAGAGAGAGAGAGAGAGAGAGAGAGAGAGAGAGAGAGAGAGAGAGAGAGAGAGATCCCTTAATTAGCAGACTCTAGGTCCATAAAAACCATGAGACGTCATAAGACTCTCAACCAGGCATTAGGTACCGTTATGCCTCCCTTATCTGAGGAAGCCACAACAGCCAGGTCGCTGTTTAGCAAAGTAGTTATGATGTGATTCGAGGAACACTTAAGCGCGTAATGAAGCTCCACACTCATTGTCGGCACAAGGTATCGGAGATGGGCAACACTGTAAAAAATATTCACTAGCTAATTTTGAAATTAGGCATTTTTTACGAGTGCCTCCCTTGCTCCTCGTTACAACATATATGGACATTAGTAGTCAGAGCCATGCACGTTAACAATGCCGCTTGTGGAACAAATGCCTACGAGCGAGAACATGTTCAGGAACCTAATTTTGCGCAGTGTTAATGAACTACGCACAGCCTCACAGTGTTACCCGCCGTTGGCTTGTTCTCGGCCAGTTTTTAGCGTGTCCCTCAATTAGGTCATTTCGCTATTAGCTCAGCTGACGAGGCCCCGGCTGGCACCTACTAAACGGATAACCTTGCGTGCAACCCCGCTTGTTGTCACGAACGCCTGCAGCTGGTAAACGTGCTGGCAAGCTTGCGTGGTAAGCGGCTTCGGATGGCTATGAGGATGTGCCTCATAGCTATCCTCGTCGCATGTTACAACCTAGGAGTCTGTGGCTGCTTTCAGAAGGAGTCCCCCCCCCCCCCCCCGCTTCCGGGAGCCGGCGTCCATTTTGTGTTGCGTCGCCATTGCTGTGTGTGTCTGCCCAACTGCTCTTTGGCTTGATTGAAGGTGAGGCATCTTGTATCATTTGCTGTGTGCTCAACAAAAAGGTTGTCCATTTGTAAACAAAAGTTATTATGTTGTTGAGCTTCTTAGAAGATGTATAGTATCGCATAATGTTGCCCGTCGTTGGCAGAAGTGCGCCGGTATCGTCTATCCAAGTCAGAATAGCTATATGTTTGGGACTTAAGCTAGCTTGTGGCAGGAATCTATCACTTTATTCAACTTTAATTTAATCATTTTCCAGATTGGTATGCCTTATGATAATAATAATGTTAATATTCGTTTTTTCACCCATTACAGACTTCTCTGGTGAAGAATGGGGCCATGTATGTCCTGGCCTACCTGCACCCCGCGACTGCCGCCGGTGCAGAGCTAATGAAAAAATCACAAATGTTTGATGGTGGTTATTTAAGAAACCTTATTGAAAATTATTCAGTTAGTTGTTGTTGTTGTTGTTGTTGTTGTTGTTGTTGTTGTTGTTGTTGTTGTTGTTAAAGTTATAGTTATTGTCCTGGCGTTGTTATTGTTCTCGTTCTCGTTCTCGTGCCCGAATAAATGTGCTGCAGCGCTACTCAGTCTGTTTACTTGCGGGTGGCGGTCGAGAGTCGGGGGCACTGGTCGACGGAATTCCGTCGACGGAATTCCGTCGACCGTGCCTCGACCCCGAAGACCAGTAGTGGTACTAGTTAAATAGTGCCACTACTGGTCTTCGGGGTCGAGGCACGGTCGACGGAATTCCGTCGACGGAATGCTAGTACCATTACTAGCCTTGGGGGCTAGTACCATTACTGGGTATGGATTAGTAGGCAGTGGCTAGTTACCTTACCAGGCAGGGGCTGTTATGACACCTAGTAGACGCACTACCCACGCTATTTACGTGCGTGTTGTCAAACTAGGTGGAGCACGGTGGTCGTATGCATACGAGGCACAGCCTTGTCGAACAAGCTTGTTACTCGGCAACTAGCCTAAAATTAGCCAAATTTACACGCTCCTGCAATGTTATTTTTGCGCTGAGAATTCCTCTACGAGGGGCTTGTAAGTTTTTTTTACAGTGAAGCATTCTTGTGCGAACATGTTCGAAGCACTATAATATAGCCCTGAAACGATCTGGTAATGCCTACGGAAAAAGGTAACGCAATATATAACAAACAAAATAATTAACATATCACTGATGAATGGATTCGATATAAGCGGTAGTGACGCGTCATGCCAATCGCTGGATACATATATGCAATCACACAACATGCGTAGGTATACCTACTAGGCCGTGCCCATTTCCTTTGTTTCTTGAAGTGAGATCACCAACCGTGACCTGACCTTAAAACGGAGGCTGGACTTCTCACACCCTTTGTGGAAACCGTTTCCGCATGTAAACTTGGTTGATAGAAATAGATAATTACATATGTTGCTTGGACAATTGCAAGCTCCCGGAAGGGAAGGTCATGAAAATGGCTCTCATACGGAACAATACGTAAAGACCAGCTTGGCTGAAAAATGTGTCACAAAATTAGACCTTGCATACACTTGCAAGGTCTAATTTTGTGTATTTCCGTGATCCCATTTATCACTGTGAGCAAATAAAATAATTACTAAAACCGCCCGGTTTGTATGATCGTTCGGCCGTGAGCTTGCAGTGCTTGGGTTCGATGATTATTATTCGGATCGTTCGTACACTTCTGACTTCGAACCATATCGGTTAACGTTTGCTTAATGCTTATGCATCTGCGTGACGGTCTCGGAAAGACATTTAGTTTTATATCGATTTCAGGCCTCCAGACTTGCTTAAGCAAAGCGTCCACAGTAAGCCAATGGTTTTGATTTATCTATTTTAAATGCTCGCACAGGAATTAGGAAACCGTAGATTGTGGGAATGCCTCGTCGCCTGACCCTGCCAGTAGTTATCGGCATGTGAGCAGACAGATAAGATATTCAGGGTAGTAAAAATCATGTTAATTTATATCCGTGGAAATGCCTTATTAGACGGTGAGAAGGTTAGCGATTCACTGGAAGTCATAGAGCAATAAGATTAACTACTGAAAATACTAGAAACGTAATTATACTTCAATGTGCCGTAGCTGCATGACGGGTGAAAAGTTGGGGTTATTAGTGTTGTGCGGTCAGGGCGCCGCTGCGTCATGGTCCTGTGTGTGGACGGCGGGACCCATGACCCCATCTGAGGCGGCCTCGGAGCGTACCGGCCGGCAGCGGCTGCTAATGGTGATGGGCTGGGAGAGGGAGAGGGGCCGGTGGCGGCACCTCTGACCTGTTGCCCCACAGCGCGCGCCGGCAGCGCCCCCGGTCAGCTGCCGGCGGCGCCCCGGCGCGACCCGACCTTGGCTCGGCTCCGAGCGGTGCCGTCACTACACAGCGGCACTCGTAGGATCGTAGACTCGCAGTATCACCCGCAGACTCATGTCGAGGTATACTGCAGCTCTCTGACAGTGATCCCTTCATGGTCCCCTGTCGAGGTCCTGTGGTCTCCATACACCGCTGCCGCAGTATACTGTCGCAGCTCCTTGGCGTCTCTAGTATGCTGCAGCTCCGGTCACACTTCACAGGCCTGTGGCCGGCCTGCAGCCCAGGTCCCAGTCATCTGCGGTATATTCTGGAACCCCTGGTCACAACTCACAGGTGGTGTATTGCAACATTGCATAAGTTCAGCAAACCTCTGACCGAAGTGTGGCACTGCTATTTTTACTGCTGTTCTTTGAATATCCACAGCCAGCTGTAAC